GCTGTACCCCGGCCACTGAGCAGTCCATTAACGATGACCTAGTACAATGCGATGGCAATGGTCAGACTGCTGTTAGCGTACTGCTGCAGCTGAGTGCCAGTAGTTACCCTGCTGGTGGTGGTATGATATTTTTACTTAGCTAGTTCCTAAACCTTTTGACAATTTTAACAATTATTATGTTATAGGTATGTCACGTGACGATATTCTATACCTGGCTACCAGTGGACCGTTAGAGGGCAAATATATCTACGAGAAAGTGGTGTACCTGGATGAGTTGCATTTGAAAAAGTGTTCATCGGTACTGGGTGTCTCATATGTAGCCGTCTCATCTCAATCGGCTACACTGCTTATTAGCGATACACTGGACGCCAATTCTACGAGAAAGTGGTGTACCTGGATGAGTTGCATTTGAAAAAGTGTTCATCGGTACTGGGTGTCTCATATGTAGCCGTCTCATCTCAATCGGCTACACTGCTTATTAGCGATACACTGGACGCCAATATATTTCTATATCCTGCCGGTGCTTATGAGGGCTTTAGGAAGGGGTGCACTACTGTGTGCTACGGAGACGCCTATTATATTTAATTTTGGTTATTTAAGTTTGACATTTGAATTTAAATTTTTTAGTTTATATTATATAGGCAATTATTAACAAAAACATATTATGTTCAATGTGATTATGTAAATAAACATGTTAATTTACTAATATAGCAACACTAATTTACTTTTATTAATTACTATATGACAAATAATTTATTTATATAAGTAAAAAAATAATGCAACAGGCACTACCTATTTGCATCAAAGGTAGCCTTGACATTGAATTGGTATTCAAATAATGAATAAAATATTTTTTGTTAATTGCTGCTTTTAAAAACTAGTAAATGTTTTTACTGTACCTAGTAGCAGTAAAATTTTAAAAATATCGTATATTTTAGGAATCTATAGAATTTAGAAATATAATAATTTATGAATAATAAGAATGTATAATAATTAGGTAAATTGAAAATACCATAAGTTTTAAATAAATAAAAATGCCAATTATTGCGAAATTTTAAATAAAAGTGTGTGTGTATGTCCCAAAAAAACATTCTAGGTCAGCGGGTGCAATTGACAATTGTTTTATTTTTACCATGTGTCCAGTTTATAAATGTGGAAATAAATAAATCAGGGTTCATTGCATTGTCGCATAGACTTATAACACAATTTTGCAAACCCTTTAAAAGCAAAAAACAAAAATAATTTTATCACACTTTTCAATATAACTAGTTGTGTCATTGATTTGAATTAAGTTGTACTTGAACAAAAATGATTTATCAAATTGCTTTCCTAGTAATCGGTGAGCGCTTTTAAATATGTTTAAAATGTATTATCAAATTGTATATATTATTTTTTTATTACCACAATTAGTTAGCGCAGTATATTGTGGCGCGTTTCCGAGTGCTCCAGGTTATTTCCGAAACAAAAATAAAATATGAACCTGGTACTAACATTTTTCTACATTGCTAGCACTCCAATTGTTTGTGGGGTCGACGTTATACACATGCAGTGGAAAGGATGGCAATAATTTCACGCACATCACTACCTACTCACGTGACCAGGCTTGCACCCCGGCCAGTGAGGCATCAATTAGCGATAACCTAGTACAAAGCGATGGCCATGGTAAAACCTCGATCGTTTCACTACAACAGTTAGCGTCCAGCCAGTACCCTGCTGATGGAGGTATTATAATTGTGAAAATTATTTAGCTAGCTTCAATAACATCAAATATATGATTATGATGTATACTATATGTTTAGGCCTGACACGTGACGATATTTTATACCTGGCTACTAGTGGATCGTTGGAAGGCAAATATGTGTACGAGAAAATCGTGTACCTCGATGAAGTGCATTTGAAAAGGTGCTCATCGGTACTGGGTTACTCATACGTGCCCTCCCAAACGTCCCAGTTGCTTATTAGCGATACCCTGGACCTTAATGTGTTGATTAATCCTGCCGGTGCTTACGATGCCTTTAGAAAGGGCTGCACTACAGTTTGTAATGGACAGGGATACTATTTGTAATTAGTTAATTTTTACTAGTTGTTTTAGGTTTTAATTTAATTAGTATTTAATTGTGTTTGTAAAACTAAATCAATATTAAATAAATTTCAAATCCATTGTAAAATAATGTGTTATATTAAATTTAATATAGTTTAAAGCTTGTTATATATTTATTCTGTATGTGCAACTTACAATATAACTATAATAACAATGGTTATTGTTATGACCTGGGTTCTTAACATATCCGCAGCGATTATTTCGTAATTTAAAAAAAACTTTAAAATTGAAAATTTTTTACTGGCTATAAGGGGTTTGTGCAATAGATCAAGGTTTGTTTTTAATCTTATTTTGTAAATTATTATTATATTTTAAATTATTAAATAAAAATTTTCTTACCATATTTACAGTTATACATGTGTAACTAAAATAATTACCATCTAAACAGGGTTCATGACATTGTGGCTAGGATTATTTCACAACAATTTTAATTATTTTAAAACTAAAAATAAATTTTTTTTGTTTTTCTTTAACACTGAGACATCAGCTTGGCAAAATGTTTTTCAAAATTCTAACATTTGTAATATGCGGTGAGTATTTATAATAATATTTTATTTTTAGCATAATATTTATATATATTTTCTATTCACAAATAGCTAGCTCAATATATTGTGCCCCATCATGTGGGACTCCCGGTTAGTATCAACACACAAAAATGTGAATAACCATTATATACTTTTAATGTACTGAATCTAGCTAGACAATTGTTTGTGGGGTCGATCGCATACAAGTGCAATGGAAAGGACGGCAATAATTACACGCATATCGCTAGCTATACACGTGACGCGAGTTGTACTCAGGGTAGTGGGCAGGGCATTAGCAATGACCTAGTACAGTGCACTGGTCATGGTCAGTATGAAGTTAGCGAGCTGAAAGTGCTAGCTGCAAGTGGTTGGGATGCTGGTTCTGGTAATATATGTTTTTAGCTAGTTAATATAATATATAATTATAATATTAATAATCTAATATATAGGTTTAACCCGGTTCGAGGCATTATACCTGGCACTTAGTGGACCGGTTGAGGGTAAATATGTGTACGAGAGAGTGGTGCACCTTGATGAGGTGCATTTATCAAGGTGCTCGTCAGTGCTAGGCTACTCATACGTGACAGCGTCATCGGCTACCTTGCTTATTAGCGATTCGTTAGATCTCAGTGTTCTTATAGCCCCTACCGGTGCTTTCGACGCCTTTAGGACAGGCTGTACCACAGTCTGCGATGGGACTGGGTGGTTTGTTTAAGTAATTAAACTATATATTACCGATTATAAATATATTTTAAATATTTATTGTAAAACTATCATTTATATATTAGTCAAATAAAAAATAAACAAATTCATAGTTGTCATTAAATAATTTGTTATGTTATTTTAAATTTAGTATTGATTATTAGTGCAATTTGATTTCCATTTATATTTACAACTATCAATAATATTATATTTTAACTGTCATAATAATAGTAATTATGATCTGGGTTTATAATATTTCCGTGTCAATTATTTCTTAATTTTAAAAAGGCTTTAAAATTAATTTATTTTACTGGTTATAAGTTGTTTGCGCAATAGATCAAGGTTGTTTTAATTAATTTTTAATTACATGTCTAATATTAAATAAAAGCCTACCATATTTCCAGACATACACGTTAAAGTAATTACAATCTGAACAGGGTTCATGAAACTGTGGCAGGATTTATTTCATATTAATTTTAATTATTTAAAAACTATGAGCAAACTTTATTTTGTTTTATTTAACATGTGAACATCAGCTTGGCAAGATGCTTTTCAAAATCATAACATTTATAATATGTTGAGAGTATTTAATAATAATATTTTATTTTTACCATTATACATTTATTTTTGAATTTACAAATAGCTAGCGCATTATATTGTGTCCCTTCATGTAGGACTCCCAGTAAGATCCAAAATATATAAATGTTACTATAGTATTACCTGTAAATATTTTACATTTTTAATGACCTAGCTAAACAATTGTTTGTGGGGTCGATCGCATACAAGTGCAATGGAAAGGACGGTAATAATAATTACACACATATCCAGACGTTTTCACGTGACCAGAGCAGTACTCCACCTAGTGGGCAGACTATTAGCGATGACCTAGTACAGTGCACAGGTCATGGTCAGTATGAAGTTAGCGAGCTGAAAGTGCTAGCTGCGAGTGGTTGGGATGCTGGTTCTGGTAATATATGTTTTTAGCTAGTTAATATAATATATAATTATGATATTAATAATCTCACGAATAGGTTTAATCCGGCATGATACATTATACCTGGAGCTTAGTGGACCGGTACAGGGTAAATATGTGTACGAGAAAGTGATGCACCTGGATGAGGTGCATTTATCAAGGTGTTCGTCCGTACTGGGCTACACATACGTATCGCAATCAGCCACCTTGCTTATTAGCGATACGCTAGACCTCAGTGTACTTATAGCCCCTACCGGTTCTTTAGACGCCTTTAGGACAGGCTGCACCACCGTGTGTGATGGGAGTGGGTGGGTTGTTTGACAAATTAAACTATATTATTGATTATAATTATATTTTGTAACTGTTCAATGTAAAAAACTAGCTGTTATATACTAGTCCAATGAAAAATAAATTTCAAGTTCACTGTACTTGAAAATGGTTATGGTATTTTTCATTTTTAAATTTATTATTTAATGTGTGGTTTGTAAAATAATATTTTACATACTTTTGTAATTAACTGTTTAAAATATGGTAATGAATTTATTTATTTTGTATTAAAATTACATAAATAGATGATAAACTTTAATTTCCATGCTTATTTGTTTCCAAATTTAGCATTTGAATGTATAATTTGTAATTTGCATGATAAAATGTTTATAAAATTATTTTCAATTTTATTTCTAAATTTATTTGTTGGTAAGTCATCTTTGTAATATATACTTTATAAGAATTATTGTTATACAAGTATATGATTATTAACAGGGCATATTAGCGCCGGTGGTGCTCAGTCAGGTAATATAATAGTTTATAATGATTATCCTAAAACTTATCTTACCCATGTTATATTATTTACCTAGAACCTGTACCAGTAACAAATTTTCTGATTATAACCACCTATGACCAATGCGAGGGCAAATATGCTGCTAACTATACAAACGTTGGTACTATTGAAAAACTGCAATTGTGTCAGGGACAACCAAACCCAAGCTATGACAACGTCATTGTAGCCTGTTCACCAAATCAACACAATCAAATAATACAACTTAAACCATTAGCTGGCTCCATTTACCCCGCAGGAGGTTAGTGCTAAAATTTCGAAACTAGCTAATAAAATATATTAAATTTAAAAAATAATTACAAAATTTTATTAAATCTGAAACATATTTAGCGTTCACCCAGGTGGAAACCCTTTGGCAGGCCCTGACAGGTCCATTGGAGGGCCGGTACCTATACGAAAAGTTGGTCATCCTAAATTCTGCCTTTCTCAAAAAGTGCTCATCAATACTGGGCTATTCGTACGTGAGCTCCAAGATTGCCACCTTGCTCGTTATTGATCAGCTCACACTGGCCCCGCTCATTACGCCTACCGGTGCTTTCGAGGCGTTTAAAAAGGGCTGCACGACCATTTGCCAGGGTCGGGCGTTTTTTGTGTAGTTTATTTTATGAGTGTTGTATTAATAATGTATTTAATTTAATCTTTGACTGAAGTTTATGAAATAAAATATTGGGAATAATGTTGTTTTGTGCCGTTTAATTAGCATTACAATTAAATATAATTATATTTGTATTTGTGTCACAACTGTTTTACATTATTAGCAAATATAATATGTTGACATAATTTGTTTAAATTTATAATTGTGCTAGACTAGCTGATTTTTATGTGTTAACTTAATCAAACGGTTTAAAAGTAGCAGTTATTTTAATTTTTATTAGTTATAAAAATAATAAACCTTTTTATTTGTTACATATTTTAGTTTTAAATATATTAATATGTTTGAATTGTTATTGTTGACTATATTCGCATTTGGTATAAAAAATATAATCTATTGTTATGATTTAATTTATTAATTTTACTATTTCAACCAGGATCCTCTCATGCAGTGGGAAATAGCCAGCCAGGTTAATTAAATATTTAAAAT